CTAAACAAGGGGGAACACATAGACCCCAGACTGATGACTGAGAGGCCAGCATGGGACTGATCCAGACACACCCCCTAACCTTGGTGTCAGAGAAGAGGCCTCAGCAATCTATGGGACCTTGGAGAGTAGATCAGTATTTATTCCTGGCATACAAATAGACTCTGGGAGCCCATTCCACATGGAGGGATGCTCTCTCAACCTGGACACATGGGGGAGAACCTAGGCCCTATCCAGGATGATATAACAGACTCTGAAAATCCCTCATGGAAGCCCTTACCCTCCCTGGGGAGTGGAGGGGAGATGGAGTGTTGGAAGGATTGGGGACCTGGGGAAGGAGGGGAGGGAGAGAGAACTGAGAGTAACATGTGTAAAAAGTTAAATAAGCCGGGTGGTGGTGGCGCACGCCTTTAATCCCAGCACTCGGGAAGCAGAGGCAGGCGGACCTCTGTGAGTTCGAGGCCGGGCTGGACCGACAGCCTCCAAAACAATACAGAGAAACCCTGTCTCGTAAAACCCCCCCAAAAAAGTTAAATAAATTTAAAAAATGACTTTAAGTTCATGTCATACAGATCTTTTACTTGTTTGGTTAGCATTAGCCCGACATATTTTATGTTGTTTGTGGCTATTGTGAAGGGTGATGTTTCTCTGATTTCTTTCTCAGCCCATTTATCGTCTACTGATTGTTTTGAGTTAATCTTGTATCCTGCCACTTTACTGAAGGTGTTTATCATCTGTAGGAGTTAGTGGATATTAGGCATAGAGCAAAGGATAACCAGCCTAAAATCCACAACCCCAGAGAAGCTAGGAAGCAAAGAGGACCCTAACAGAGACATACATGGATCCCCAGAAGAGGAAAGGGACAAGATCTCCTGAGTAAAGTGGGAGCATGGGGGAGGGGCGAGGGATGTAGGAGAAAGAGGAGGGGAGAAGGGATGGGAGGAGGAGAATTTGAGGGATCAGGAAGGTAGAGTTGGGGGAAGAATAGAGGAGAGCAAGGAAAGAGATACCTTAATAGAGGGAACTGCTATGGGCTTAAAGAGAAATCTGGCACTAGGGAAATCTCCAGGAACCCACAAGGATGATCCCAACTAAGGATCTAAGCAGTAGGGGAGAGGCTACCTTAAATGCTCTTCTCCTATAATGAGATTGATGACTACCTTATGTGCCATCCTAGAGCCTTCACCCAGTAGCTCATGGAAGCAGAAGCAGAGACGCACAGCTAAGCACTGAGCTGAACTCCTGGAATCCAATTGTAGAAAGGAGTGATGAGCAAAGGGGTCAAGACCATGCTGGGGAAACCCACAGGAACAACTGACCTGAGAAAGTAGGAGCTCACAGACCCCAGTCTGACAGCTGGGGAACCAGCATAAGACTGAACCAGTCCCCCTGAACGTGGGTGTCAGTTGGGGGGTTTGGGCAGTCTATGGGGCCTCTGGTAATAGAACTAGTATTTACCCCTATGCATGAGTGGGCTTTGGGAGCCTTTTTCCTATGAAGGGACACTCTCTCAGCCTAGATACATGGGGGAGGACTTAGGTCCTGCCCCAAATGATGTGACAGACTTTGATGACCCCCCCATGAGAGGCCTCACCCTCTCTGAGTAGTGGGTGGGGCAGGATGGGGGGATAGTGGGAGGCATGGGAATATGGGGGAGAGACTGGCATTGGTATGTAAAATAAGATTGTTCTTAATTTAAATAAAATTTAATTAAAATATTTAAAAAACAATAAAAAAGGACTCTTAGTCACTGGGCTGTGGTGGCACACATCTTTAATCCCAGTCTCACAGAAGCAGTCAGATCTCTGTGAATTTGAGACCAGCCTGGTCTACAGAGTGAGTTCCGGGACAGCCAAGGCTACACAGAGAAACCCTGTAAATCAGGCTGACCTCAAAATAATAGAGCTCCATCTGCCTCTGCCTCCCTGAGTGCTGGCATTAAAGGCATGTGCCACCACTGCCTGGTTACATGGTACATTTTTAACAAAGCAAGATCAACTATATACGTATTGTCAATTTTCAAAACCTCCTTCTCTCATACATTACATCCCGACTGCAATTTCCCTCCCTCCACTCCTCCCAGCCACCTCCACCATCACCCCTCCTCCCCAGATCCACTGCTCCTCCTCTGTTTCCCTTCAGAAAAGAGCAGACTTCCCAGCAATACCAACCAAATACAGCAAAGCAAGTTACAATAGGACTAGGTACAAGCTCTATATCAAGGCTGGACAAGGCAACCTAGTAGGAAGAAAAGGGTCCTAAGTGCAGGCAAAAGAGTCAGAGATAGCCACACTCCCACTGTTAGGAGTCCCATGAGAACACTAAGAAGCTACACAGCCATAACACATAGACAGAGGACCTAGCTAAGACCCACACAGGGTCCACGCTTGTTGCTTCAGTCTCTCTGAGCTCTCATGAGCCCTGCTTAGTTGATTCCGTGGTTTGTGTTCTCCTGGTGTCCTCAACCTCTCTGACTCCTATAATCCTTCCTCTCTCTCTTCTATGGGGTTCCCAAATTACTGAGAAACACTTTAATGTTCAACATCCTTAGCTATCAGGGAAATGGAAATCAAAACTATTTTGTTCTTCCATCTTATTTCTGTTATAGTGACTAAGATCAAAAACACAAGTGACAGTTCATGCTGAGAACACTTCTCGGTTGCTTGTGGGAGTGAAACTTTACAGTCACTATGGAAATCAATATGGTAGTTTGTAATATGAATGTTTCTGACCTGGCTAGGCCCTGCCACTGCTTCAGCCCCAAAATAATCACACAAAGACTTATATTAATTATAAACCTGTTGGTGTTTGACTATGGTTTCTTATTGGCTAGCTCTGACTTAATCATTAACCCATAACTACTAACCCATGCATTTCCACATGTTCTTGGTTTACCAGACCTGCAACTCCTTTGCCTGCTACATGATGACAGCTGGCTCAGCATCCCCACAGAGAAGAAAAGAGAAGAGCAGAGCAGAGAAGAGAAGAGCAATTCCCTGCTTGTCTCTGCTTATATTCTGATTCTGCCCAGTCATGTCACTTCCTGCCTGTCTGTACAGACCTCCAGACCTCTATGGTTAGCTAGTGGCAGTTTCTGCCCAACCATATCACTTCCTGGGATCACATGATGATTCCTCTCTGCCTACACATCCCAGAATCCTCCTCATATCCTGGTCCCACTTACCTTGCTGTCCTATTGGCCAACAGTGTTTTATGCATCAACCAATAAGATAAGCATAGTTACAGAATGACATCTCCCATCAACAGCTCCTCAAAAAACTGGGAATCAATCTACCCCAAGACCCAGCTATACAACTCTTGGGCATATACCCAAAGGATGCTCCATCCTATTACAGGGACACTTGCTCAGCTATGTTCATTGTTGCTTTAGTAATAATAGCCAGAGACTGGAAACAACATCAACTGAAAAATAGATAAAGAAAATATGGCACATTTATACAATGGAGTATTACTCAGCTGTTAAAAAATGACATAATGAAATTTTCAGGCAAATGGACAGAACTAGAAAAAAATCATCCTGAGTGAGGTAACATAGACCCAGAAAGACAAACATGGTATATACTCACTTATCAATGGGTATTAGCTGTAAAGAATACCCATGCTACAATCACAGATCTAGAGAGGTTAAGTTACAAGAAGGGCTCAAGTTGGGACACATGAATCTCTCTGGGAGTGAGAAATAGAACAGATTTTGGAGATGGCCTGGGGACTGGCAGGAATGGTAACAGGAGGTATCAAGCCAGGTGTGGGGTAGAAGGAGAGAATACATGGAAAGACGACTAGAATTAGGGGGCCTATGGTATATGGAAACCTAGTGCAGTGGAAACTCCCTGGGGTCTACAAGGGTGACTCTAGCAAAGACTCCTAGTAATGCAGGACATGGAGCCTGAACCAGACATCTTCTGTAACCAGGCAAGGCCTCAAGTGGTGGGCTTGGAACACCAACCCAGCCACAAAACCTTTGTCCTGCCTGCAAGGACAGTACTGAGAGAGAGAGAGAGAGAGAGAGAGAGAGAGAGAGAGAGAGAGAGAGAGAGAGAGACAGACAGACAGACAGACAGACAGACAGACACAGACAGAGACAGAGAGACAGAGACAGAGAGACAGAGAGAGACAGAGACAGAGACAGAGAGAGAGAGAGACAGACAGACAGACAGACAGACAGACAGACAGACAGACAGACAGACAGAGTTTCTCTGTGTAGCTTTGGAGCCTGTCTTGGAACTCGCTCTGCAGAACAGGATGGCTTCAAACTCACAGAGATCCACCTGCCTCTGCCTCCTGAGTGTTGGACAATGTTCTTAAGTCCCCCAATCTTGAGAAACTCCTGTTCTTTTCTCCCATGGGTTAGCACTTGCCCCATTCCTAATTCCATGCCCTACTGGTTTAGGACACAGGCAGAGCCTTGTCTGATAAATTATTTCAGGCTTGAGATAACCCCTTTTCTGCCCCTGGGCTCAGTCACATAGTAGACTGCCTGTAACTTTCCAACAGACCTGCCACCAGCTAGGGAGAGAGGGGCTCAGTGCCTTCTGCTTGTCTGTAACGCTGATGAACTCTGGGTGCACCTCATATGAAAATGGTAACAACTTACTGCTTACACAGGCAGCCTAGCTTTGTAAGGGAGGACTGTGACCAGGAAAGGACAAGAGAGGATCTGGAGAATGGGAGGATCTGGAGAGGAACAGAAGGCAATGACATCTGCTCAAATACAGTTAAATGGGGCCTCTACAAAGCCAGTCCCTGCCAGCTTGGTCAGCATACAATGCGCTCACCTTGCAGGCCCAGGGCTGCTTTGACACAGAAAGTGCTGGATGCTGCCCTTATTCTGGGGATCTCAGTCCTGCTGAGTTGACCAAAGATCTTTCTATGCAAATCCTAACCCAGTGCATGGGTGTAGGCCCAAAAGATGGGGAGGTAAAGGAGGCTTTGGGGGACCTCATACCTATCCCATTTGGTGACAAAGACCATTCAGGCTCACATAGATGCACAAAGTTTATTGGTCATAGAGACACAGGGCCATTTGAGCTTGCCTCCTCCTGCCCAGGGTCAGCTGGTATATTGGTCCCTCCAGGTGGATAAGCTTGACTGAGAGGAGGTGGTGAAATGTGGGGATGCAGGACTGAGCTCTGAACAGTCTACTTCACTTACTCATCTTCATCCTTCTCATCTTCATCTTCATCATCATCATCATTTTTATTTTTGTTATTATGAACATTGTTATTATCGTCATCTTCATCTTCATCATCATCATTTTTGTTTTTGTTATTACAAACATTGTTATCATCATCATCATCATCATCTTTGTCATTGTCTCCATCACTATCATCCTTGCCTTCATTTTTGCTTTGTTCCTTTGCTTTGGAAGTGTTAGGGATGATAGTTGGTTCTCTTTGAGGCGTTGTGGAGACTACCGTCTCTGGGACATGTCTCCAGTTGAAGCCCATCCCTGCGATGCAGAAGACTGATGACAGAATGCCATTGATTGTCACTAGATGCTTGTCTGGACCTGCACTGTCCTCAAATGAACGGCCTTTCTCTTCACCAAAGAGAACATGATTCCCCTTGTTGGTAATGAAAGTCAGGGAGTTCAGGCACAAACCCACTTTACCACGCACCTTTATTATATGCTCTCCATCCTCCAGAAGCCACTCTTTGTGAGTGGATGAAGTGGTTCCATGGACAGTACTCCAGTGTTTGCCAAAAAGCAGCTGGATGCTGGAGAGAAATCAAGTCAGTGCAACCTCAGGAATGCCTGTTCTTTCCTGGAACTGTGCCCTGTCCTTATTCTTGGTTCACAGTCTCCAGAAGTGCCCTACTCTGATATGGCAGCCTGGAGTCCTTCCTCCTCCTGCCTCTTCCAGACACATCCCTCCTCACAGGTCCTCATACAGTCTGGTCTGGAAACGCAAATGTGCCACGGAGGCTAGCACTACTACTGCAGCTCATTCTGAGCTTGAATCTTTTTCAGGGTCTGCCCAACTCACAGTTTTTCCTCTGGAGCCGCCTCTTCTGTCTGCCCCAAATGAGGAAGCAGTCACACTGAGAACTACTCTGCTAAGGTCAGCAGACCAGAGACCGACCTTACAGGCAGAGACCAGAGAGACAGATGCTCTCCTTGTGTTGTCAGGTGGGAACAGAAGGGCCCTGGAAACTGTTATACTAAGCAAAGAAGAAAGATGACCCCCAAGTCTTCTAGATATTGCTAATGCCAGATACTTCCTTCTCTTCCAAGATAAGATGCATATCAAATCAGACTCCATATCACACACAGGAAATATATCCAATTCAATTAGAATTTCAGATAATCATGAGTAACTTTCAGGGTAAGTATATTTTGTGTTGCATTGTTTATTTACTTATTTTTGGCATTTGATTTATTATTTATTTTGTGCATATTTGTATATATATATATATGTATTTGTGTCTGTCTATCCAGGTAGGCCCACAGGTCTTAGTGGAGGGGAGAGGAGAACCATTGGGGTTTTGTTCCTTCCTCCCATTATGTGGGTTCCATGGATCAAACTAAAGTCAATTTGGCCAGCAAGCATCTATTCCTGCCAGAGCCATCTTGCCAGCCCTTACTTCTTTAGTGGTCCTAGAGACTGAACCTAGGGTCATACATGAACTAGACAAGCCACTGAGTTATATCACCAATCCCTCCTTCACCTGTTCTTTTTATCTTTTTTATTTTATTTGAAACAGGATCTCACTATGTAGCCAGAAGTTCCTTTCACTTCTTCATGGTGGAAATCCCCCTGCCTCAGCTTCCTGAGTTCTGACATTATTGACATGAGCCCCCATGCTTGGCTCCAATCCTCTTCGCTTTCTCTTCTGAGACTGGGTTTACTGTGTTGTCCAAGTTGACCAGAGGTGGCTCTGTAGCACAATATGGACTCATATTTGACCATCTCCAGCGTCAGCATCCTAGGAAGCTGACATTACAGGACTGGACCACCAGGCACATACTCTCCAGCAGTTGTGAGGATGAGGTACAAGGACTTCAAGCTTAAGGCTAGCCTGGGATACATAGGGAGATCATGTCTCATGAAATTAATGGTTATAGGTGAAACACAAGTGTTATGACTTCGGTTCAACCCCAGTACCACAAAAGTGGAAGCCAAGTATAAATTTGTTGTCAATTCTGAATTGTGTGTGTAGGCAGAGTATACATGTCTGTTTACCCATGTTGTGGAGGCCAAAGGTAGGTGATGGGTGTCTTCCTGGATCACTCTGTGTGTGTGTGTGTGTGTGTCTGTCTGTCTGTCTGTCTGTCTGTCTGTAATGCATGTGCTCCTGCTCTTGGACCCAAACTTTAGGTCACATACTGATCCGGCAAACACTTTATCTGCCCAACCTTCTCCCCATCACCCAACAACAAACAAATGTTTTCAGGATTAAGGTAACCTCAGTACTGCACGGGAGACACACTAAAAGACTATCCATTGTTCATCTGGAATTCCATTACCCTCAGAGACTGTGCTTGCATTTACCAAGCTTGGCAAGAGTAGCACAAGGCCTTTGTGGCACACTAGGAGAACAACAGATATCATGAGGCAGATACTGGTGAGAACAGTCAAGATCTGGCCTGTCCTAGGATTGGCTGGCCTTTCTGGAGCAGAGCATAGATCCAGAGTGGCAGGGTGAACCGCACATTCCATGTCCTGTGAAGACAGGGACATCTGGCAGACCACATAAGCAGTTTCTGTCACCACCAAGGGGCACTAGGGCCACTGAACTTCGTGGAAGAAGGACTCTTCAGCCTCTGTGATCCTCTCTGAACCAGAAAGTTGGAGGTCCCTCTCCACCTGCCTCCTGGAGGACTGTCCAGTCTTACCCAAGCCTGAGAATCCCAGCTCTGAGTAGGCTGGCGCAGGCCAGGGTTCTAGACAGCAGCAGGCACAGGTGGAAAGTGCTGTGGGATCCCAGCCCCAGAGCCCTACTCACCCTGCGATGTGTTTGAGTGCTGTGAAGTAGATCTTCATGCCCTTGATTTCTCCCTGTTCTTCACCATGAATGGAGAAATAGGTGCCGACATTATTGCCCCATATGTCTGGGGAGAATGAGACAGAAGAACACTCAGGGCCACTCCCTCACTCAGAGGCCCTGATGCCTAGGACAGGACACAGGAGGTGAAGGTCACAAAGGAGGCTCAGGTACTCACCCTGGGCTCTGCAGGTGGGACCAGCAAGGACAGCCAAGGCCAGCAACAACAGCATGACTCTTGAGGGTTTGAGGCTTAGAAACCACAGGGCGATGGCAAGACTTCAAAAAGGCGCAAAGGAAAAGACATACGATTTAAGGGATCCCACACTCCAGTTTGAGACAAGGGAACATTTGGGAACCCTCTTTTCCTATAGGCTCAAAGGCTTCAGAAGAACAAGGAATGGTTTCACCCACATGCCCACACTGTGACCCACCCCCATGTTACTGTGCTAACATTCTCGCTAAGCTCTTAGCCAGAGATCCCATGTTGTCATAGTACACTTGGATCCCCAAAGTCTAACACTGCTCCTGAAGAAAACCCATATTTCAAACCCTTCCATCCATCCTCCTTTCCCCTTCTGGCCTCTCCCCTGCAGCAGGCTGGGTTGCTGCTCCTTCCTTACCTGTGCGGTGTGGTCTGAGCCCCTTGGGTTGTATCTTTATACTCTGATGCCACTGAGTCGTAGCAGCTGTGGGAATGATTTGAGGAAATGCCTTGTCAGCTGGCTTTCAGAAACAGAATGTTTGTCCAGCCTTGAAACTGAGATATTCATATGCTTTGCAACCATTTAAAACTATGTACTCACTATGCTTTCCTACTGTGTACTCAACTAGTTTAAATTTATCTTGACTTTAAGAAAACAATGTAACCAACCTTACTGTGCCTAGGACTCCCATGTAATCAAGTTTTACAAACTAACCTGAACAAATAGTTTTACAGTGCTAGGTCAGAATCATCAATGGAAGTAAGAAGGAAGGCATACAGGTTGGGAACTGTCCATCAGCAGAGGGGAGTGTTTCCAGAGGAAGATGGAGAGGAGGGCCAGGATGACAGGGATTTTCTTCTCTTTCCTCCTCCTCCCTGAGATAGACTTAGAAAAAAGGGAAGTTGGAGAATTGACTTACAGAAAAGCTGTTTTTACAGCAAGCCAAGTTCCTTCCATAAGAGCCACTGATCTAATCTCTGTGTTTCTTCAAGGAGCACAGCCCCTTTCAATCTCAGCCCTTACTGTGCACTGTTTGCTGTACTCAATAATGCAAGACTTCCTGGTTTTCCAAGAATGTCTTATGACGGAAGTCATGCAAAGGCTGTAAGGTCCTTCAGAAAAACAGCTCTAAAATTCACAGAAAATAATCACTGTTGTCTGCAATGATTTCTCCAAGGTCTAAGCACTTCCAAAAAACGGCTGCTTCATTCTGTTGTTCACACCACTTACAATGGCTCTGCTGAATTTCCCATTACACCTTTCCATCCCCTGACCCAGAATGATGTGTATGTGCTGGCCTGTGCTGATAACTTCATTTGCTGAGAGCAGCAGATTGAAGGCAACCGAGAAGATAACAAATACCCACCATAAATGTTGGAAGCAGCATGACGATCAAGGTTGCAAACTTCTTCTTCTTCTTCTTCTTCTTCTTCTTCTTCTTCTTCTTCTTCTTCTTCTTCTTCTTCTTCTTCTTCTTCTTCTTCTTCTTCTTCTTCTTCTTCTTCTTCTTCTTCTTCTTCTCCTCCTCCTCCTCCTCCTCCTCCTCCTCCTCCTCCTCCTCCTCCTCCTCCTCCTCCTCCTCTTCTTCTTCTTCTTCTTCTTCTTCTTCTTCTTCTTCTTCTTCTTCTTCTTCTTCTTCTTCTTCTTCTTCTTCTTCTTCTCCTTCTCCTTCTCCTTCTCCTTCTCCTTCTCCTTCTCCTTCTCCTTCTCCTTCTCCTTCTCCTTCTCCTCCTTTCCCTTCTTCTTCTCCTTCTTCTTCTATGCTATACTGGGTCAGTAGGAGCCAGTAAAGAAATTTCTTCCATGTAAAAACTAAAGTCTGGTAAAAAAGATTCCCTTTTGTTTGTTTCTCGAGCCGGGGTTTCTCTGTGTAGCCCTGCCTGTCCTGGAACTTGTTCTATATACTAGCATGGTCTCAAACTCAGAGATTTGCCTGCCTCTGCCTCCAGAGTGCTGGGATCAAAGGTGTGCACCACCACCACCTGACACAGTAAGAATCTTAAGACAAAAATTCCACACACCTTTCCCCTCCCTTGTTTCAATATGCTGTTCAATAAGCAGTGAGGGTGGCCTTCTGCTCAATGGGGAAGGACAGATGAGCTCTGGTTTGTTCTTGCTTTAAATGACTGTGCTAGAAATAAGTTCATGGTTTCAAAAGCTCCTGAGCATGGACAGACTGCCCATCTGAGTGAAGAGCAAGCACCTCAGGTAGGAAATTCAATAGGTTTTTATCCAAGTGCAAGTGAGATGTGTCTTTTACCCAGTGGTTGGGACAAAAGACCTTGCAGTTTGTTTGTTGGTTGGTTGGTTGCTTGGTTTGAAAGGAATTGGTGCAAAAGAAACAAAGGAAAGCCAGGAGAGGTAAGCTGCTCCAGTTCTGGGATCCTAGCAACCTTTGAATAGACAAGAGTCTGTTTTTCTTTTTCTTTCTTTCTTTTTGAGACAGGGTTCTCTGTGAAACAGCCCTGGCTGTCCTGGAACTTGCTTCCATAGACCAGGTTGTCCTTGAACTCACAGGGATCCCCCTGCCTCTTTTGAGCTTTACTTTATATCTATGAATGTTTTCCCTGAAAGTATAAATGTGGATGCCATGTGTGACTGATCCCCACAGAGAACAAAAGAGGGCATTGGATATCAGGGAACTGGAGTTACACATGGCTGTGAGCCATCATGTATGTTCTGGGAACTGAACCATGGTCCTTGTTGAGAGTAACATGTGCTGTTAACCACTGTGCATCTCTCCAGCCCTTATGCAGAACCTAGTAGGACTCTTGTCTCTACAAGGCGAGTTCCAGGACAGGCTCCAAAGCTATGCAAAGAAACCCTGTCTCAAAGAACAACAACAACAAAAAGTCTTGGAAAGGGGTAATTTTAGCTGGGGAGTGTTGGTGCACACTTTTAATCCCAGCACTTCGGAGGCAGAGGCAGGCAAATCTCTGAGTTCAAGGCCAGACTGGTCTACAGAGTGAGTTCCAGGACCAGCAGGGCTACACAAAGAAAGCCTGTCTCAGAACCAAAAAAGAAATGTGTGTGTGTGTGTATGTGTGTTTTGCCAGTCTAAGGTGATACTGATCCCCCCAATAAGCTCCATGGATCCACCTGTGTGCCCCACTCCCTGGTTTTGGGGTTACAGCAGCATGCTAGCCTGCCCGGCTTTTACATGGGCATCCAAAACTGGGTCCTCATGCTTGCACGGCAGCCATTTTTCCAAATGAACCATCTCTCCCTAAAATGAAAGTGTGCTGAGGACCTTGAGCTAAAATCACAAGCAACACCCCATGGCTGCCTAAGCCTCAGACAGCATATCAATTATATCCCAAAGTGACACAGGGTGAATTCAAATGAGCTTCACACATCAAATGTAGAGATAACAATTAAACAAAATGCCAAACCAGGTGTACAGATGAGGAAACAGTGCGCATTCTCTGCCAAGCAAAATCTGGACTTCCTTGTCACATAGCAAACAACCATTCCTCAATGGAGCCACCATTCAAAATGATGAGCACCTCAAACGGCCCTTCTCAAAAATTGGCACCAAGAGTGCAAAAGAACCGACTTCACCAGGAACTCTGTAACTATAAAGTAAGCAATTGTACATGGATAAGGCCAGGTCCAAACCAAAGGCTCTTCTCTGTCATGAGTTCATCAATAAGCATTTATAGCCACCAACATTGGGGTGGGGGGACCCATCCTGGGAATGCATCCTGAGTCCCAGCTGCAGGAGTCATTGAGCCACATGTTCTCCTCTGGGCTGCTTTTATCCCAGCTGGGAAGCTGATTTTCAGAGTTATTAGAGGGAGTGAGCATTTAGATTCACAACCCTGCTGCATCACACACACAAAAAGATTAGGGAACAAATCAATAAAGGAAAGTGTATTTACACACGTACACACATGCATACCCTGCATATGCACAGGTGCATATCCCCACCCACACACATGTACACCCTGCTCATAGACATATACATATCTCCCTCATACACATGCATACCAAACACATACACACATGTACCCAGTATATTCACACATACATATCCCCCACATACACATATGCATATCCACCACATACACACATGCATAACCAACAAATACACACAAACAAAAACCAAAAGAGGAGAATGACTGGGAAAGACACCTGACCTTTCATGCACATCTATATGCACATGTGTGCAAACACATGAACACACGCTACCTCACTAAAAACATAGCTACTCTAGCTTTCTCTGCTACTAAAGTTGGACAAGTCTGAGCTACCTCCCTTGAATCACCCGTCACTGTCACATTAGACAGTTGGTAAGCTTTTCATGGCTGCTTAGGAGTTCAAGATGGAGTCTGTGCTATGGAAAACAAAACTGTTACACTTTGGTCAACAATTCAGGAATGAGAGGTTGACCTTCAAGGGAGTATTGCTCCAGTAAATGCCCCAAGACCGTTTCAAATGAGGCTAATTCCTTTTTTCCCTAGATCACTCGGTCTCTCCTGAGTCTCTTGGAATTACATACTATATTCCTTCATCCTGGAGACCCAGGCCTCTGGATAGATGAAACAATGCTAATACTACCTAAAATTGTTCATTAAAAGACTTTGCCAGGATGTCTTAACTGGAGAGCAATACTACCACCATCCCTCCTTATAGTCTACATTGTCCGTGTTCTTCTTGCAGATAAAGCCCTTCTGAAGTGCTCATGAATTCCCCTTTCTTCTCTTAAAAAAAAGTATGAGTGTCTTAGGAGATGTCGTAGCAGTCAGAGGGCTTGCTGACCAACATGAGGACCAGAGTTCAGATCCCCAGCAACCCACATGAATGCCAAGTGGCTATGATGGGTCTGTCTGTTACTTCAGCCCCAGCAGGCAGGCAGGATCCCCAGAACAAGCCAACCATATCAGTGACCTCTAGGTTCCACTGAAAGACCTGCCTCAATGAAGAAGATGAAAGAACAATGAGGATGATTCCCAACATCCGTCTTGGACCCCCACATGCGCGCACGCACACACGGGCACACACACACACACACACACACACACACGCACACTCACACACGCACACACACACTCTCTCATGCACACACATGCATGTGCACCCACACATACGCATGTTCCCCCAACACATGAGAAAGCATACATATGGGGCTTGAGAGAAGACTCAGTGTTTAAGAGCAGTGGCTGCTCTTCTGTCTTGGTTAGATTCCAAGTACCCACAGTGGCTTGTAACTATCTCTGATGCTGGAGCCAGGGGATTCAGTGCCCTCTTCTGACCTCCACAAACACCAGGCATATACATGATGCACAGGCATACATGGACACCTTTACTCCCAGCACTCTGGAGGCAGAGCAAGTCAGATGTCTGTGAGTTTGAGGCCGGCCTGGGATACGTAGTGAGCCAGCCAGAGCTACATAGCTAAACCCTGTCTCAAAAAACAAAACAGCAATAAATAAAGGCAATCACACATGAACACCATGAGAAATGCAAAAAGAAAAATAGATTATTATTGTGTGTCTGCATGATGTGTGTGTGTGTGTGTGTGTGTGTGTGTG